ATTACATATTATTTAATAATTGAACAATGAGAATCTAAAAATTTGGACTAAATAATATGAAAGTTAACAAAAAAATTTAATCCAAAACTTTGAACCCCTAGTATTTTTTCGTTTATAAATTTAAAATTTCATTTGAAAAGGTAAGAAAGGAAGCTAAAATTTGTCATAAATTGATGATGCTAAAAAATGATCAAATTAATAAATTACAAGGAAATAAAGTGATAAGATAAAACCAACAAATAAATATAATAAATAAAACAAAAATAGTTAAAAATCCTGATGAAGACTAGCAATCACTTCATTTAGCATACAAATAAAGACAAATTTTCAATAAATACGAATAACAAGCATTCAGCTTCTCAAGCTTCGTACAACTGCATAGCATAAATGATAAAACTCCTCTAGCTCACTGGTGAATGAAGAAAAAGAACGTGAATGAAGAAAAAGGTATCCTTAAATGGGTTAGATGGGTTACCCAATTAAACCCATTTAATAAATGGGTATAATTGGGTAACCCATTTATATCCATAAATAAAAATTTAATGTACCCATATCCAATTATTAATAGACGGGTATGAGTAAAATTAATTAAATGATTTTATTTGACACCTCTAGCTTTGAGTTAGCCCCTTGATTAATATACCGTACGGTTTGTTTGAGCCCAGTGGTCGGATTGGGAAGTCAATAACAATAATGGTTCTGCCCAAATTCGGGTTTCACACAAAAACTGTTGTTGAATGGCCCTTCGTTTTTATTTTGGGACTGGGCCAACAAAAGCTCATTGGAGCCACTCTTCAGCCGAGCCTCCTGATATCCATCTATTACGCATTTCGGGTTTTTTTTTTTTGGATGGTGACCCGTTGCTGGTCACAATTCGCGAGTATCTTTTGAAATATTTTTAGATATTGACTTCTCGGTAGGCTTTGTTTCGTTGCTCCATCCAGTATTTATTTATTTGACGTGGTCTATCATTTTTTGATTACTGTGATCCAATGACCCGTCAACGGAGGTAACTCTGAAAATAAAATCAACCGATGACAGTAAAAATAGAAAGAGGACTGATTTTTACTGTCCACGATCACACACAGTTCTAGCACTATCTAGATGGGGAATCCAATGTTAGGTTGTAAGCACTACAATAAAAGATGTAAGAGTACCCTCATCAATTATCAAATGACATAATCGGACCCGACCAATTACGGACATGCCATTGGATACTTACTGCTCATTCACCAAACACGCACTTTGAACAGAGCTGTGCATCAGCATCACTAGATGTGTCAAGTATGATCTCCAACAATCCTAGCATAATACGAAACAGTAAACACAAGGTTGCCCTTAGGTGCACGAAAGCCACTTGTATCCGACCATATTCAAGTATTTCTCAATCCTGCACCCCCATATACACAGGACGAGTTCTGCCACAAGTAAACTTCACACGCAACTAAACGATGCAAATTTCAAATCAATGTCGAAACAAACAAACAAACAAACAAAAATAATTCAAAATATCTGTGGAGAGAACAACTGAACTAACATTTAAGAATCCAAAATGTATTTCAAATTCCATCCAGAAATAAAATCAAAACAAAATCCTAGGATCATGGGCTTTTTCGACAAGTAGACCACCGGAAGTCGTACAAAAGAAGCCTGACAAAACACAAATCTTGAGCTAAATAATCTCATAATACATTTCCACGATTCCTTGCAGCAAGCTGTATCACCAAAATTACTCTCAAAGCATGGTCAAAAATTATTACATAATTTATCTTAGCTCTTGGCAGCTAGCTTTTCCTTCGCCTTTTGAATCTTCAAAACCTTCTTAACAATCTTTTGTTCTTCCACTAGGAAAGCCCTGATGATCCTATAACATCACATCAGGATGAATCAAGATACCAGAGCGATACTGATCGCCGATCAACAAAAAAACAGGAGAGTTTTATAGGGCTACCAACCTTTCCCTCACAGCGCTACCGGACAAAACCCCACCATAAGCACGGTTCACAGTCCTCCGGTTCCTGGCTAGTCTGGACCGCTTGTATTCAGCAGGTCTAAGATGCGGAATCTGCAAATTTCAAAACCATTAAAAACCATGGACATTTAAGATGATAATGCTTCATGCTGTACATCAACATCTAATACAGTGATTCATTTTAAAAATGCTTAGAGATGATCACCATATACATGATATTGAAAAGCGTCAACTTCTGATTCAATAAGAGGACCAAAAAAAATCATTAGCATCTTGATTGGCTAATACAAACACCCTCGCCCCATCAAGTTTTACTAGTAGTCCAAAATCAGTTGAGAACACCTCTAGAAAATACATGTAACAGCTCTTATTCTTGGAAAAATTCATCACTGATAGCCCCCTCTTATTGATCTCTCTTTAACACAACTGACAAACTATATTCATGTACTTCTCAACTCTGTATTAGCATTCTTACAGTATTGTGGCCCAATAAATTAAACTATATAATAAAAAAAGTACTGTAAAGGTAAAATGACAAGAAAGGATTTAGAACTCTAATAGCAGCCGCAAATATGATAGAAATCAGAGATCCATATACACGTTTCACTTCCAACAATGAATAAATTTCACTTCATCATTTCATTTGTGTTCAAGTCGGTTATTTTTCCAATTCAGCTGCTCCCCCCCCCCCCAAAAAAACACGTATGTGGGTTCCCTCACTGATGATTTTAGTTAGCCAGAGGGGAAAATTCACTCAGGAGATCCCTATAAGAATTACAATCACGAATGCAACAAACATTTCATCATCTTTTCCACAGGTGACCACAGACACTCTTGGTGAATTTCACTCTAAAATCTATAATTTGGAGGCGCAAAGCCTCCAAAATAATCACATGCTCTATCAAGACTCATGAAGCTTTATTAACTTCATATGATGACGCAAAATAACATGTCAACCGTCATTGTCCCAGATAACAACCTATCCTCTACAAACCTCCAACATATAACCCATAATGCAACATCTAATCACACAACATGAAAGCTTAAAGCACCCAACTAAACTACATGCAGCAAATAAAACTTGATGTTGCATGCCCCAGACCCCATTGCTAACACCTCAACTACCGAAAAATCACAGAAAATCCATATATCATTAACCCCAAAATCACTAATCTAATCAACCATAAAAATAAAGTAAAAATCCCACGCAAGTAAAATCATTAGAGCATCGAAAAAGAAGTCAGATTTACAAGTTAAACCCACAAGCAAGATTAATGAGGAAACAGAATTAGAAGATAGAGCATACCCCTTGGATCCTCTTGCCAGTAACAGGGCATTTGGGTCCACTAGCCCTCTTCTTCGTAGTCTGATAAACTAACTTGCCACCTATTTTTCATCCATAAAGACCAAAACCCATCAATTTTATAGCGCCAAAACATCAAATAGCAAATCACGTAAAAAACCATAACTGACTTCACATGAACAAAATAATCAAACAGGTTCGGTGCATAAACAAAGGTAATGTGGGCTATCAAGAAATGAGGAGATTTACCAGGGGTTTTGACGACCCGGTGTTGGTTGGACTTGGTGGCATAGCTATGCCGCTTGCGATAAGTGAGCCGCTGCACCATTTCTGCGCCCCCTCGGGTGTGTGTTTGAGGGTGTACTCTCTGTTTTTGCGAAGGGGAAGCTGAAGGAGTAGGGTTTGAGGGGACGGAGAGAGAAAGGTTTATAAAAGGTAGCCAAAAGAGCGTCGCCCTAGATCTGACGGCTGAGATTGGATTAAGCTTTGGGCTTTTTCATCTTTTCCCGTAAGACATTGGGCTGCTTCTAAACGAAAAGAGTTGGGCTCCTTTGGCTGGAGAGGCCGTTGCAGAATTTCAATTTCTACCCTTGAGTTTGGCTAATTACCATAAGACGATCTAAGATTCACAAATTATGCCGAGAGAGAAGAGAAGAGTACCTTGTAGGCACAAGTCTCCTCCTAATGTTGTGTGCCTAAAAAGGCAATTGTGAAAATTAGGAGGAGGGACATCTTGAAAGTTAATACTACCATTTTTACTCTTATTGGTAGCACTGTCCTTAAAATAAATCACCCCTTTTTAAATTAACATGGACTTTCTTGGAATTTGCAATTTATTTTAGTATTAATCATAAAAATAAAAAAAGACCTCCCTCTTTAAATTTTGAAAAAACATAATCACTCTCGCAAAAAACCAATATGGAAAAAGATAATAAAAGTAAATAATAACCCTTTATTAAATATAGACTTCTAGCATCTTTTTCAAGTTATTTTATTCTTAATTTTCATATCTGTTTTTAGTTGCATTAAACTTAGGGAAACATTTTTTTTTTGTTTGAAGTTTAGGAAAATGTTATTTACACTCCATTTTTTATTATTTGCACTTCCACCATTTGTTTTATCATATAGTATAATAAATAAAAACTATATAATTAAAATGATAGTGGGAGTGTAATTAATAAAAATGAGAGTGCAAATAACATTTTCCTAAACTTAAGTATTCTTTTCAATGTACCATCCAAAAATTTCTTGTCGAAGCAAAAGAGCATATTTTTCAAAGGAGGTAAGCATGAATTAAGCGCTTGATTTGTCAATGGTAAGACATTTTGATTTGTCAATAGTAAGACATAACTTATGTTATTTTCATATTATTTTGTGAATCTAGCTGCTAGGTCACAGATTGTGCCCCCAATAAAAAAAATTAAATAAGTGCTAGGTCGCAGGTACTTGACCACCATGGCCTAGCAAGAGCCCAATTAGAAAATGCTGCTGAGGCCTTGATGTCCAGGCACGTTAGGCCATCCCTCTCCAGCAACCACTATTTAGATTTGGGCTGTCCGTTAGTTTTCAAATGTGAGACTGAAAGTTGGAAACAGACAAAATGCTGGGAAAAAAAAATGAGAAGAATATTAGAGCAATAGTTGCGGGCTGGTATATTGTTCTTCAGGATTTGACTTAGTGGATCTAGATTTTAGAGGCTGGATATGAAATAGTACCCAATGATTCTTGTTGAAACTTCGTGTTTATTTGGAGGAGAAATCTGGTTCACTCTACATGGTAAGGGAATAATTCATTGTACGTACTTATTAGCTCGTGTAATCACCAGAATAGAGAATAATTAATGTCCTAACCTCAAGTTTAGGCTGGCAGATTACACAAGTCCGCCAGCAATCTATTCTCCACCTCTTACTTTACCCCTTCCAAAACTGAAGTAAAGAGGGCAATTCCTACACTGTGACTCTAATCTTTACAAAGTGAAGATACGTACTAGTTTCGAAAAGAAGCTGGAATTTTAGCATGGAAAGAGTAGGAAAGCCGGCTCAACGCAAATCTTCCTGTTAACAATATTGATGTTATCTAGTTTCTTCTGGCACCAGATCAGATGATCAGTTGTCAATCTTGGTAAGCTTAATACTCTCGATACCAATTTCAGTTCTACCTGAGAGATCAGCAATGCATTACTTGTTTGGCCTGCCTGCTGTTTTTGGAACCTCTTCACTATGCAATTTACACTTCTCTGTATGTCTTTGAGCTTTCTCTCCTTCTGTCAGGGAAGGAAAATGAAAGCATTATAAGCTGAGAAAGGCGAAAATGAAAGATGGAAAGAAGGGAAATGAAGAGATTCAATGAACACAACCAAGACAAACCTTCTCAAGACGAGTCCTAACGTTCGTAAGAAGCTCAGAATCGACAGCAGCCCTAGGATCAGCTAGACTTCCTTGAACACTCTTCAGTATTCCATCAGCTTCCTCCTTATCAGCACGAAGAAATTCCCAGAAGATGTGCATCGATTCCTTCAGGGTTTGTGCCAACATGGAAATTGATATTGCATCTATTTCATCTCCTGTAGTTTCCTTCTTGTCCTTGAAACAATCATCTGAAGACCAGTTAAAAAGTCATTCAGATCCCAGTGAATGTTAGTAGAATAACTCAATCGAGTAGTGATTTTGTCAAGTCTGTTAACCTTTGATGATTGGAACTTGAAGAAGACCACGGCAGGCGCATCTGCTTTTAACAAAGTGTTGAATTCTAGGTCCATTAAATCGCTCATCCTCCAAAAATCTTTGCACAAGCACTTGAAACTGTTGGTATTCTCCTGCCACTTGATTATAGGAGTGATTACCTTGAGAATCATATTCTAGCAACTCCTTTACTTTTCCATATTGCCACTGCAAAATCTCCCATGAAAGGCAAATGTGTCCAACATAGACCAACTCAAGGTCTCTATGCATTTCAGTGATGGATTTAAGGGTGGGATCAGCATAGATCCTACGTTGTTTTGACATCGAAATGCTCGGTAAAGAAAAGGGCTTGATGGATGAAAGTAAAGATCTTTTACTTGGGATAAAAAGTTGAGAATCCTTGTGCTGAAGGAAACCTGCAACAATCGTGAAACCATCAGATATACTGAAAAGTACTTCAAAGAAGGAAACAAGTCCAAAAGGTTGAGCAGACGGCAATGTTCATACCAAGATATATAATTGTAGTCAAACAAGAATAATTTACGATCAACCTAATAGAGTGACTCTGAAAACAATTGAGGAATGATTGAATATATCTTCCAAGGTGCAGGCTGACAAATCGCACCTACTGCAGCAATAGAGGCATTCGCATTATCATAATCATATGATTCTTGAAACTTGGTGGTATAGAAAAGATGGATTATATGACATTAAAGACTAATCAATTGAATAATTTGTGCTGTAGAGAGCAAAGGGAGCTCTGCATAATGAAGTGGGATCTTGGTGCTGTACGCATGGACGACGCAAATTGGAGGCCCACCAAGTCAATTCGTCCTTTCTTGATGATCTTGTTCAAAAAAGATCTTCACAACAATCAGATTGGATGGGACAGCATTTAGCGTTGTGGACTGTAATACAATTTAGTCCAGGACAAACTATACAAAAATCTTTTCAACTCCATTTAAGAAGGCAAGGCATGAAATCATAATGCTTGAGCACGTTGAGCGTGCCCTTTTTGATGAATTTATTATCAACCTACTCTGATTACGATATGCATTTGAAGTTGTGTATACTAGAAACTAGTATAATAAATTTGAATCTTGTCATCAAGATTTTGACCGGCAAAACTATTTTATGAAATAATTGAACTAAAAAAAATATCAATACTTAAATCACAAGGAAAGAAGGGAATGTTTAGTTTAAGTTTAAACTTACTGATTGCATGCAAGGTCTGATAATTCAAGATGTCCAATTTTCGCGTTTTTTCTGCATAACTCTTGTAGAATTTCTGGATTTCTTCCATGAGATCTTTGTACTCGAACTTTTCATCAATTTTTAGTGGTTTCAGATAATCTAAAACCTTTGGAGTCTCGCAATCTTCATTTTCTGAAATAGTAGGAAGCCCTCTAGCCATCGAATTCTTTCTTTCCATTTTCATTTGTTTAACTAGTTGCTGGTGTTCCAATAGGATATCAAACTCATCTTCATCATCAGAGTTTGATTCCCATGATTCCTTTCCCAAGCTCTCTTCTTGGAAATTTTGTGGACGGTCATCCATCAATTGTGTTTCCTTACCTCCAGCATGTGCAAGTTCAAACAAGCTTTCATCTTTCCGGGACAAAATAGTTTCATCAGCCTTATTTGCATCCTTTGAACGAGGCTCCAATTCTATGTAATCATCCTCAATGTCGTCATCTGCTTCCCCAACAGTGCATAAGTTACCATTTATGACCTCTTTCCCACTTGAGCATCTTTCACTTATTTCTGGATTTCTGTCAGTATTACTAATCATGGGACTGGTAGATGCAAAGATTTCAGAATCCTTTGCATCAGAAGAAGGTAGTTCTGTTAGTCTTGACTGAACTTCATGATTACCAGCAAGTGATTCATCAAAAGAGTTCTCTAACTCTGGCTCTGAAAAACAATCTGACGAATCATCCCTTTGAAGCAAATGGACTTCATAGGAAATCTCATCGTCCAACTCTTCGTAGGTGGAGACTTTGTTTTGAGCTGAACTTTCACGTTGTTTACTCTCCAGAATCTCTTCACTGAACGGAGTTTCGAGTAAATGATCTGCTATTTCTTCCTCAGGAGTCTCTTCTTTCGTAGTAGATTCTTCAATATCATCTCTTTTGTCGTATCTCAAGTCAATCAGAAGACCATCACCATTTGAAGAAGCATTAGAACACCTATCCAAATCTTGAACTTCAGAGCTGCTTTTCATCTCATCTTCATCTTGAATAACTCTACCATCACTATTCTGAATCAAACCGTCATCTGAACCCACAAACATTTCTTGAATGGTAAAGCTCCTTATTTCCGGCTCTTCCATGAATTCTCTCAGATTCCCGGCCGCCATGAACTGATACTTTCGAGTGCTTGATCTAAAGCCACTCTGCAGAAAAGCAGAGTCCTCTGTTTCTGCAGTCTGTTCTTTGGAATCTGCAGATTTCTGACTTCTTAAGCTGAAGGTGAGGTTTGAACTCTCATTTTGAGTAGTAAAATCGGAGTCAAAACCCATGGAAGTCTTTGAAATCACTTCACCATCTTCTTGAGAATGATTGACATTAAATTTTGAAACATTCTCTTGCGCCTCATCAGCGTTAACCCTGCAAAATCAGTAGCAGTCAAATATTAGATGATAATAATAACTTCATGGTAGGAAAAACAAAAGAAAACCCACGAAAGAAATAGAAGCAAAAGATCATACCTGTGCATGTATTTAACCATCAACCAGAAGATATTGAGCATGAAGTTGCATAGCCAAACCCACAGAAAATGGCCATACCTAAACATCGTTCTGTGCAAAAGCTCGTTCAAAAACCTCTCATCTACAAAGCTAAAGCGGCTTTTGAGGGTAAAGAAAACCTGTCTAGCCATCCTCACAACCAAGAAAAAAAATGTTCAATCATTTCTCGGCAAATATTGAGAGCCCGCCAAAAAAACAATGACAAAAAAGAGTACAGATTCTTGCCATCTGGAGACACACACAGTATCTCAGTCTGCACAGAATCTAAGATATTTCATTGGAGGCAGTACCCCAGTGGACCGTCCACTATAGGTACTTGTGGAGAAAAATATTGCCAAATGGTAACAGCTAATCAAGGATGATTTCTTTTGGAATCTTAAGGCTAACTTGTTGGCGAAGATTGTGGGAAGGAAAGAAATTTTCAGGAAAGTAATGAGAGAGAAAGATACAGGTTGAAGAATAAAATGAAGTGGAATTGCGCCATGATTCGAAAGAAGACTACGAAGACCTGAAGAGTGGCTTATAGATTTGCAAAGAGGTTTTGTCGGTTGAAGGCTTTTGTAGGGATTATATATTTTTTTCTATGCATCCTCCAACCGTTTCACACGTTTCAACTGGTGGGACACTTGTGGAGTCAAGTACTCGTTGTTACGGGAAATTTTTGCCTCTAAATTTGCTTTGGGAACCATGCTAATGGAAGATCTTGGCTCTCTGTAATTCTCCTTTTGTCTTTCGGTTGAGACTTGATCTCACTTGTGGAATTTGTGAATCCTAACCAAATTTTCTAATTGGCATGTTTGGGAGATGACGTGTTAGATTTTGATGTTATTGCTGACTTTAGAAATTTTTTTGTTTTTCACGTATTTTCTTGAATAGAAAAGAGGGATGGTAATATTTGAATATACAGTAATGATAATGATGTAAACGAGAAAAAAATGAATCTTGATTGTGAGATGAAGATATGGATCACTACACTAGAAGTTTTAACATCCTTGTCTGGATTGTGTTTTTGCGCAGAAAAAAATTTATATTTTTTGTGAACATAAATTTTTAATTTTTTTTATTTTACATATATCAAATTATTACAATACATTTTTTCACAAAAACTCCTAAAAATACCAAAACCTCTCGATTGCAATATCAAATTATTACAATACATTGAATCATACCCGTGTTTGGATTGCTGAATTATCTCAAATAATTAATATTTCGCTCGTATCATAAACATATGTTTCAACCAACGTTTTTATATTCTCAATAATTTTTTTTTATCTCACATGCATCACATCACAAAAAGTGTTACAGTAATTATTCCTAATAATATTTCAAATAATACTCTATCCAAACATCTTATTCCGGACTGTTGTTGGTATTTGATAACTATTATACATCTTACGTGGTATCAAATAAAACACGCCAGCCATGTTGTTGGTATTTGATACGAACTTAAACCTACCTAAGAGCATGGGTATTGACCTGGCCTGCGGACACATACATGCGCATAAGCATCACGTTACTTTCTTCCTATTTGAGAGGCATCCTCGCAATGTGGCTTCAAACGCATACTCTTGAAAGGGAAATATGCCAAATGGAATATGCCACGTCCAAAAACCCGTTGGTTTTCACTTCTGACACATTGATCTGGAAAGCCATTATGGGTGTGCAGAATACTCCAATTTACTGATTGCACGAATCAAGATCATCTATCACCTGTCAATTTTTATTATCATCTAGGAAATAAGTTGCGGTGGTTGGAATTTTATAATGGTGTGAACATATGTCTCCTTTCCAGCAATAGAAATAGCACGTCAATCTCCTTGCTCCATTCAATACATTTGTTCCACCTTCTAATCTATATTGTGATTCGCAGGAAAGGAGGGGAGGGGGGAAGGGGGAAGGGGGAAGAGGGGGGGTTCAAAAAAACTGATCATAATTGCACATCCTTAGACAATTAGATGATACACATGCTTCCTTGACAGTTTGGGTTGTTCCTTGGGGCCGGTTTGCTAAAATGTTTGGCATGTGGGTTGCTAAATGAATGAAATGTAAAGGTGAATTTGGAGCACTTTTGGACATTGCGGCTGCTCCACCCGTTTATCTTGATTAAGCAAAGAGTAGTTGTATTAACTGAGTAGCATATTTTGGTACTTTTCTGATTCTTCTTTCCGGGAAATGGTCAACTACTTTAATGTGAAGCACATTGCCAACATCCACGACTTTCAGCCACTGCTCCAGTCCACTAGTGTATTTTTAGATGCCCTACAATTCTCTTTTGTTGAACAAATGACAGAGGCACGCAAAAACTCTTGAGAAAATATATTTTTTTTTCATTCTTTGTCAATATATTTTTCAATCATATTTTATCTCATATACATTAAATCGTTATAATATATTTTTTAATGTAAAAAGTCTAAAAAATAGAAAATCAAATGAAATTATATTGCAACAATTTGATGCATGTGAAATAAAAAAAGTAATAAAATAATGTGTATTTGTATTTATTTTCTCTAGTCCATTGATATTGGTGGCACTGTCACTAAGTCCATTGATATTGGTGGCAAATTGGCAATTGGATTTAAGCACATAGATTGTTTGTATTTATTTTTTTTCCAGTCCATTGATATTGGTGGCACTGTCACTAAGTCGATGCCAAACATTCTAGAGCCGTGGCCTTGACGTGTCTGTTCTGTTGTCCTCTAAGAAATGATGGACCCATATCAAAGGGCCGATGTAGCTTTCAACATATCTTATGATTAATCTTTAATCGTCCCAAAAGCAAAACCTTCAGAGGCCTCACAAGTTCTATTTCGCGCAATTTTGGGTACATCCAAATCCAATTTATTTATATCAAGTTCTAAAATGATTTGCGTCGAAATTATACTTATTTCCGTTATGAGTAAAATTGTGCGAGCCCCAGATCCAAATCTTCAAGGCTTCATGGTAGGTCTTTCTCTCTCTCTCTCTCTCTCCAATTTTTTTTTTTTTTTTTTATAATTTCCTTGTCCCTATGAAATTGACATATAAAACAAAACCTAAAAAGGTAAGGGGGGGAACAAAAAAGAAGAGCAAAAGATTGCTGCCTGTTACTGTTAGAATTCTAATTAAATTGAAATATTATTTGAAATAATTATTGTAGCACTTTTTTTCGATGTGATGTATGTAACATAAAAAGGTAATTGAAAAAAAAATATATTGAAAATTATATTTATGATGCAAGCAAATAATTTTTGGCCAAATAATGACTATTCAAGCATTGTTAACAAAGAATTTTATGTGTCAAATCCATATTCGTGGGAGTTTCTGTCTGTTGAAGAATTACTACTATTAATTGGTATAGATAATATAAATGGAAAAAGCAGGTAGGATGTTTGATTCTTGTGGGCACGTAAAAAAAAACACACACAACAGAAGAAAAACTAGTGACACCAACCCAACCCTTGAAACTTGTGAGTCAAAAAAGTGCGTGTATTACTTGATTCAAATTCAGCCCATTTGGATTCTGGAATGAGAAACAAGAAGGTTGAGAAGTGAGAAGGTTTCCAACCACTAGGAAGCAGATGTTTTTAAGCAACATGCTTTGCTTTGTCGATGCTATGCACTCTCTTTCCCATGCTTCATTGCACAGAGCCGAATCCTTCGCCGCATTTAAACTTGGGCTCCCAAGTGTGAGTTTTGTAAGCCTATACAGCCCATAAGCCTCAGATTGGGTTGTGTTGGCTAAAATTGAGGATTTCATCTCAATTTCAAAATTTTCCATTATTTACATCGTACAATGATTTTGTCAACTGACATAGGCTAGGAGTAAAGTAACCCCTGCAAATATGTGATTTTTTGTGCTTTACAATGTCCATGCCCACACGACAAATGAATACACTAACACAAATGCACGTAAAAATATGTGTGAATTCTATCACACATTCTAAATTCTGTATCAAAACTCATACCAGCCGCTTAAACTTTAAAGTGGAACGATCTCATCCATCAATCTTACCCTGCAAATAATTTTTGCTAATGGCAATCAGCCCTATCATCATCATAATGCTGACAGAAACCAAATGCAAAAGGAGTAATTAGTTTTGCTTTACTAAATCGCTTGATGATAAAATTTCCTTCTTTTTTTTCCCCACAGGTAATCAGAATAAAGCCGAAGCTTGCCGCCTCAGAAATCAACCAGGGTCGGAAATCCGGCAGCCGACAGCTTTCTTCACCTTTTATTTATCAGCACAGAAAAGCCTGTGTCTGCTTGGCTTAAAAGCTCAGATTACAAGATAGCATAAACAAGTTTTCAAGCGTCACGAAGTTTAGCTGCTCCGTCTGTCCTAATAATAATTGCGAGACTATCGAGTCACCTTATTGTGCCGCTTTAAATTAATGAATTATCGGACCCTCCACCTCTTACCAGAACCAAAAGAGGAAAGAGGAACTAAGGAAATTATTTAACAAACCAGAGTGACAATGAGGTTAGACAACTGATACAGGATGGAACCATCTTTAAAGGTGCATGACATAATGACATAATGAGTGAGTTTGGATAGGAAATTATTTGAGATAATTTTTTTTTTAAAAAATAAAATAATGTAATACTTTTTTCATGTGATGTAGTTTAAATGTACGTGAACTCTTGCTATCAATGATTAGGAACAGAGATTTCTTGCTAATCTACTCATCAAAATGTACTTGATATACCTGGATAAAGTTCTATAGTTTTTAATTTATCTATACATAAGTAAATAAATGCCCTAATGCTCAAAATTGAATTGGAAAGAGTTGTGATTATTACGAATTATGTTTGGAGAAGATAGAAATCATCCACTTAGCCTTAGCTTCACCTTCGGACCGAAAGGTCAAAGGTACACCTACCAGCCTCATTGTGCCATAATATTCCCCATTAAGACAAGTGTACACTATCCTGCAAAGGCTTGCTAGTAGAAATGCAAAATTAAATGGAAAGAAGACAAAATTGCGTACAGCATTTCCTTCAAGAGTTGGACATGGTGTAATGTAAACAAAATCAGCTACGTACTGTACATTGTAAAAAAGCATCATACCACCATATTGATATAATATGATATCCATCCTCAAAATCATGCACAAAAAACAACTGATTTTGAAGATAATAATGACAAAAACCCCTTTATCCATCCTCCACCGAAAGAAATCAAAAGCCTTCTAACACCGGATACAAGGAGGATGACATATAGGAAAAGAGTAGATCATGTTAAAGTGCAAGAAAAAACAAATGAACATTGAACTCGTCTTCTTTCCCTGTAAGCATCTCTTTTTATCTTTTTCTTTTTTTTAATATCTCTCAAACAGTGGTAATATGAGGAAAAAAAAATATTAAAGGATGATCATTCTATGAACAAAATAAAAAGATACCATAGCAAAATGGAAGAATCGGAAAAGGGGATGAACAGTAAAAAGATAAAGGCTCAAAACGCATGATGCTTTATTTACTTGTGCGGTTGATTGATTAACCTTAATAATCATTAGTAGTACAAGAAGACTACTCCCTAATCA